TATGTTTCCTAAGGCCAGAAATTGTTCAGATATATTTGGCCAGATTTTCTTCAAGGCTTTTTCTGCTTCTCACTAGGAATCACAGTTCAGACATGTCAGGGAAGGATGAGTTCCAGCCCTTGGAAGGAGATTACTCAGTTGAGTAAGGGTCGAAGAGTCCTCTTAGCTGACATGTGCATGACACAGAAGGCTAAGAGTTATCAGTGATTCTGAGCAAGAGTGGCAGATAAAACCTGTCTCCATTCACGCCCTCATACTCTGTAAAATATTTTTTTTGGAATATGAGGGTTGTGATGATTTAATGCTCCAGAGTGGGAAGGTATTAAAATGGCCTTCTTTTTGTCTTGCCAGAGGCTCCACTTGAGGAATCCCCCCATTCTAGAAAAAGTGCTATACAGCCCATGTAGGAGGATGGGCTGAGAAGTGGAGGCACTGAGAAACCGATTCTTCACAGATGAGTCTATTCTCACCTTCAAAATACTTAAGAGGAGGCAGGTTCATTAAGAGGTTGAGGAGACCCTTGGTGAGCACTTCCTTAGAGAAAAATTTTGGAGTAGTCAAGTGACCATAACTTTTATCCACTTCTTTCTACCCAACTGGCACTGAAGGGGACAGTCTGTGGCCAGTTCTCCAACAGCAGGCCACATCCAGGATTTGGTAGGGCAAGGATGCATACATATTTCCAGAGGGCCAGATGCAAGACTCTGAGTAGAAGAGCCAAGCTGTGTCATCTTAGCACAGCCTGTAGGGTCTAAGGGCCCCTAACCAGGATCTGAGAGGTAGACCCAAGGAGCCAGCTGACAGAGGCATTGCCCCTGTCGAGGGAATTGTGGGAGAAATATCTCCAGTGACCTCAGTCCTCTAGAGATCCCACAAATCACCCCAGGAGAGAAAAACACAGCATTGAAAATCTGCTATAATCAGAGGGCACCAACATCAGATGACAACTTTATCAATCAAGGAAGATTTTTCCTCAAAATCTCAGAGGGGGGCCCAGAGCAGCATCTAAAGGTAGTGGTCAAGGAAACAGGAGAAGCTAAGTTTGTTGTTTCCTCAACCCCCATCCCCAGAAGTTCTCCAGGCTACAGCAGGCTCTGTTTTGGAGGGTTGACAGATGAGTTTTCCAAGAGTTTTAACATTTCATTATTACAATGTTCTGGACTTTATATTACTTGAAAGTGAGCAGAAAGGCTTTGAGAACTGATAAAATGTCAACGAAGGGCAGTGAAGAATAAGTGGAAAGAATATATCTGAAATGAGTACTGCCAGAGACAGTAAAGTTACTTTTTGCTTGCACTATACTGAGTCCAGCTCACTCAGTAAATTGGTTACATTTGCAGACACTGTACTTCTCCTACTTTGAGAGAGTGAGATGCAGGCATAATTGGCATAAGCTTTTTATTGTACTAAAATACACACCACATAAAATTTACCATTTCAACCATTTTAAGTGTACAATTCAGCGGCATTAAGTAATACACAATTTCCATTTCCAGAAGTTTTGCATCATCCCAAACTGAAGGTCTGTACCCATTAACCACTAACTCCCCATTCCTCCCTCCCCTCAGCCTCTGGTGACTACTATTCTACTCTCTGTCACTGAATTTGCCTATTCTAGGTACCCCGTATAAGAGGAATCTGTAATATTTGTCATTTTGTGTCTAGCTTATTTCACTTAGCATAATGTTTTCAAGGTTCATCTATGATGTAGCATGTATTAGAATTTCATTTATTTCTATGACTGAATAATATTCCATTGTATGTACATAACACATTTTGTTTATCCATTTATCTGTTGATGGACATTTGTTCTAGTTCCACCTTTCGGTTATTGTGAATACTACTGCTATGAACACTGGTGTACAAATACATGTTACTGTCCCTGTTTTCAATTCTTTTGGCTATACGTCTAGGAGCAGAATTGCTGGATCATATGAAAAATCTGTGTTTAACATTTTGAGGAACGCCAAGCTGTTTCCACAGTGGCTGCACCATTTTACATTCTCACCAGCGGCACAGCAGGGTTCTAACTTCTCCACATCCTTGTCAACACTTTTTAGTTTCTTTGTTGTTGTTGTTTTTATTTTTTGATAATAGTCATCCTAGTGGGTGTGTGGTTTTGATTTGCATTTCCCTAATAACTAAAGATCATCTGTTCAAGTGCTTATCAGCCATTTGTATGTGTATCTTTGTAGAAATATCTGTTCAAGTCCTTTGACGATTTTTGAATTGGGGATGTTTGGCTTTTTGTTGTTGTGTTGTATGAGTTATGTGTTCTGGATATTAATCCCTTATCAGATATATTATTTGAAAATATTTTCTCCTATTTTGTGTGTTGTCTTTTTACTCTCTTGATAGTGTACAAAAGTTTTTCATTTTGATGAACAAAAGTACAATTTATTTTTTCTTTTGCTGCCTATGCCTTTGGTGTCATATCCAAGAAATCATTGCTGAACCTAATGTCATGAAGATGTTTTGTTTCTTCTAAGAATTCTATAGTTATAGCGTTTAAGTTTAGCTCTTTGAGTCAATTTATGTATCTGGTATAAGGTAAGGTTCTAACTTCATTTTTTGCATGTGGATATCCAGTTTTCCCAGCACCATTTATTGAAATGTCCTTTCCCCACTGAGTAGTCTTGGCATCCTTGTTGAAATCTCTATTCATTACATAGTCTGTCCTTATGCCAGTACTGCACTTGCTTTTTAAGTTGTAGTATTTTTGGCATTATCCTACGATTACATAATTCTGAAAATGAATAGAAACATATATCATTACTGACAAAGTGAATAATATTTGTAGTATCATTACCCGTTTCTGTCGAGTATAATAAATAACCTTAACAGTTCATTGTATTATAAAAATAAATCTATCAAAATTCTTAAACATTTGCCCGAAGCCTCTTATTCCCTTTTTTTTTCTTCACTGATATTATTCCTCTTGCTTAGGCATTGCCCTGGACTTTACTCTAAAGCCAAAGTCCTTTTACTAAAATAGCCAAGAACCTGCATTATCTGGCCAATCACTGCTCACCTACTTCTCTGCCCTTATTTCATAATTCTCATTCCACTCCAGCCACATTGGTTTCTTTGTTTTTCCTCCAATATGCCAAGCACAGTCCCACCCCATTACATCTACTCTGTACCTGCAGTACTCAGTGAGGCTATCTGTAACCACACTGTACAAAATAACAACCTCTCCCCTCCCTCCGAAATACCCTTTCTCTGCTTTACTTTTCTTTATGTCACATTTCACAACACTACATATGTACTTATTTGATAATCATCTGTTCTCCCAACACCACCAGGATGTAAGCTTTGTGAGAGCACGACTCAGCACCAATGAATGAATGAATGAATGAATGAATGCTTTAGGAAAGAATATGAGTCCTCCTTCATTCATTCAACTAATATTTATTGAGATCTTACTGTAGACTAGTCAGTAAATGGCATAGACATTAAACATACAGAACTTGTTAAATGGTTGCACAAATCTAAATCTAAAATACAAAATTAAATGAGTTTTTTTAAAGAAGTGGGTAAGTCAGTCTCACAGACAAATCCAGATTGGAAGCCTTAGTGACAAATCAAGATTTTAAGGACTGAGCACACTGCCCCTCAGCTATTGCTCAATGCACCCTGACTATCAGATTTTACCCCCCAAGGAACTTGTAATGGAGGTTCACTGAGGCTAGTCATTCTCTACCGATCTTTTGAATGGAGATGGGAGGAGGCACACACCTTCGTGGAGGGCAATTACTTTGCCCTTGCACAGACCCTGTGCTAGCCAGCAGTGCCCAAGAAAGGCTGCAGGTCTGGCTAGGGACTGCATCCCCTCGGGCCCTTTTGGGGCCTGTGCAGAGGCAGCAGCGCAGCCCTGCAAAGACTGATCAGTTCACGGACCTGTGCTTGACTTGCCCTCTGTTTTCACTGTGTAAAAGGCCAGAGGAAATGTGCTGCTTCAAGTATAGCACCACCTCTGCACCTGCTAGATATGGTCTAGAGCTTGAGGGCGCAGCCTGGGGGGTCGCCACAGTGAGGGCCTTAGCGACAGGGTGTATCCACTGCTACTTCAGGGAGGACAGGAAGGACAATATGGGCAGGGCTGGGGTGTGGCCTGGGTTTGCATTAAGTGTGCGACTCCGTTTGGCAGCGGGTCGTAACAGCTTCCTGGGGAGGGAGAAGCCAAGGACGGTGTAACCCCCTCATGAGAACGTGGTGGGCCAGGAGCCCATAAATGTTCCTGAATGAGTCGGTGGGTGGTGAACGCCAAGAGGGCTTCCGGCTGGGTGGGGGGGAGCTGCCGAGTGAGGAAACACGGCGGTTGATGTGCCTCCTGTCTCTCACTGACTGGGCGGGTGGGGCCGGGGTACCGGAAGGGGGCGAGGGAAGAGGAACCTGGAGAGCAGGAACTCCGCTAAGACTGCGAGAAGGGGCGGGGCTACAAGGCGCGTCGCGGCGGGACTACAATGGCGGGAAGGGGCGGGGTTACGAGGCGCGCCGGGGGCGGGGAGGGGGCCCCGAGCGGCATCTAGCTGCCCGCGCACTGGCCGGAGTGGCTGACGGATACCTCAGAGCGCCCTGCGCCCCACCCAGAACCTAGCGCGCCGGCGCCCGGCTTGCACGCGGCAAGGCACTGCGGCGGCGGCGGCGGCGGCGGCGGAGCCGGCTGGGAGGGCGGCGAGAGGCTGTGGCCTGGGCAGCCGAGGCTTACGCAGCGTGTCACCCAGGGCGCCTACGAGCTCCTGGTGCTTCTGCTCGGCTTCGTGGGACTGCTGGGCGTCGGCAGAAGCCTGCTGGTGCTCGTCCTCTACCTCAAGTTCCCGCGGCTCCGCAGCCCCGCCCGCCTCTTCCTGCTTCACGTTGGCCTCGGCAACCTGCTACCCTCCGTCCTCCGGGCCGCGCTAGCTTTCGCGTTCCGCCCGAGGGGCGGCGTGGTGGGGGGCGCCACGAACTGCGTGTGGGACGGCTTCAGCAACAGCCTGTGGGGTGAGTGGCCGGGGTAGACCTCCCGCTCCTGCGGCCTCCTGCCTCCGGCCCCGCCCCCTCCCGCTCCTGGACCCCAACCTCGTGGCGGTGCTCCCCTGACTTCACCTCCCCCTACCTCTGTTCTTCTGATCTCACCTCCTCCCTTGTGACCTCGCCTCCCCCCGATCTCACCCGCTTCCGCCCACCTCTGCACCTTCCCCGCCGACCTCTTCTCCTCCAGCACTCGCTGATCTCCCTCCCTCCCTGTGCTCACCAGGCCCCACGCCAACCCAAACCCCAGCCTGTCTGCAGCCCCATCTCCCTTGTGCCCACCTCCTCCATACCCCTTTCCGGCCATTGTGCAGCTCATCTTGCTTCTCTGCTTTCATCTCCTAATTTAGTTCAACAGGGCACGAGACAATGGCTTTTACACTTTGAGGAAAGATATGAGGGCTGTGGAGTTAAGAGATTCAAGGAAAAAAGTGTTTGATTTGTGAAAGTTGGAGAGGGTGATGAGGAAAGATCTAATTCCTATATTACTTCCCTAAAGTGAGAGGTAGAAACCTAACGTAGTAGTAATGTGTAAATTTTTTGAAAAATTTGCCCATTAGCAGTTGTAAACCTTTGACTGCTTCCTAGGAATTGAGATCGTTTTATTCAGGTCCTCAGAATGCAAATTGGCATGTGCCCTATTAGCTATTTTTACTATAATTTCCTCCTTATAGTTTCCAGCACACCAAAATCTAAGGTGAGTTTGCAGATGGCCCAGAGAATCCCAACTCAGATGAACAAATAATTAGCTGTGCAGCCAGTAGATTTCATTAAAGTAGAATTTGATTGTGAATACAATACTCTTAACCCATATGGAAGATTTAAGTCTCACTGAGACTTGACATTTTGAAGGGTGAACCACCCAGTGTGTCATTGAAGATGTGATTTTTCTAAGATTAGGAAAGTATCCTTTTGTGTGTGCTCCAGAATTTCATTTGTACAAAGATTTGAAATAGAAATGTATATTTCTCAGGTCTTAAATTTCCTTTTAAAAAAAAAGAATCCTGAAATCCATTGATAATTTATTACTGCCTTTATCTTGGCAGGTTTATGAGAATAAAATCTTTGTAGTGTTATCAAAAGTATTTTCTTATTCACCAACCTTCTATGTGGTGACAAATCCAAATATTATATTTGTTATGATTCCTTTTTTTATATTTTGAGGGAAACAAGAAAATGCAATAGAGATCATAATTTTATTTATTTGATTGTCTCAATGATTCTAATATTCTAATACTACCTACCCCTTCCCCAATAACCCCTTATCTGAGAACTTCATTTATACAAAGATTTGAAACTTGGGAGGGGGTTGTAGGTGTGTGAAGGTGGTGACATAGATCACACTATAGATTACACTCTTTGTATTAATTTAAAATACCTAACAGGCAATGTTTCAGGCAGGGCTAAGCTTTAAAGAGGGCAGTTCAAGCCAAGCCCTAAAGTGGCATCGGTAGCAGAAATTGGGTCACAGACATTAAAGTTCTTATCTTTAAAAAGTGTTTTTTCTGTGCTGGGAAATTCAGCTTCTATCCTGACTCGGTGCCTGGGAATTTGAAAACAGGGGTATATTGAGTTTTTTATTAGTACCAGCATCCCCCTTCTTCCTCATCCCTTCTATCTTGTGGCCCCACCCTGCTGTGTCTCCTTGTCTCTTCCATCCTTTTTCCTCCCTCATCATCCCTGCTTAGGTCTCACCCCAGTCAGAAGGGATTTTCTAAGACTGCTAGAAATGTTCACCACACAGTATTTTGCCTGACTACTGCTCTTTCTCTGGGCATTTCTTTAGTGCTTTCAACAATGACTTTAACCTGTTTTTAAGTTAGAGGTGGAAACTCTGGGGCAAGAGGTTCTGAGTCTTGTTTAAGCCCTGGGAGACAAGTCAATAGTGGGTTATGGTGGAGCTGAAAAAGTTCTTAGCAAAGATTAAGAATTTCTTTGCCTGGGGTAAATTCCAAAGACTGTGCTTCTAGGTAAGAGTTAAAGATGAAAAGAGGGAGGGTGCTTCCCTCATTGTTATCCCTGAGCAAGAACTAACCAACCATGGAGCACTGAAGGGGCAGAACATTTTAAAATACCAAAAGTGGCTGCTTGCTCCAGAGGCTTCTGGAGAGGCTGCCTTATCAAGTGGAAAGACCACTGATCTGATGGTGTGAGAGTGGGTCCCACTCTTGATCCTGTGGCTACCCATCATGTGGAGTTTCCCAGTCACTTAATTTCTCCAGCCATCAGTTTTCTCATCTTTTTTACGGGGTAGTTGAGCTAAATGTGTTAAGGTTGTCCTGTCCTGCTTTGTATTACAAGGACTCCTTTGATACCTATAGGTTAGAAGGTGCCTGGTTTTAGCACTTATAGCTTATATCCTCTCCCTTACTCCCAACCCTCAGCTGTATCCCCTTCTAAACTGAGAATAAGTACATACTATGGTTACACTTCTTCACATACCCTCATGGGTTCTGTCTTCCTCTGCACGCCCTGCTGGAAGAAAGCAGAATAAGTAACTCAAACATACTCACATACTTATGTGAGTAGGCCTGGCAGCCACTTCATTCTGTGCTCAGTTTCTTGTTTCTGAGGGAATGTTGAAAGCAAGTGGAATCCCTGATATTCTTGAGGCAGAGGCTTTGACTAGACAGGACTATTAAGATTGCCATCTCAAACTGAGCAGTCAGTTCAGTGAATTAGTCAATTTAATCTAAGTTCCAATTGAACAGCTTGTTTTACAGATGTCTAGGATAATTAGTCATCTTAGCCTAGGCGGACCCAATATGCACTGATCAGTAAGTATAGTGGTAGGAAAACATCAGAGCTCAAGAAACTCACTCTTACTGTGCAATGATGAATGACAGAAAGGCCACCTAGCATGTGTGTGTAATGCTATAGCCTAAAGACTTCCAGGTGAGTATGCCTTTCAACCCTTTGGCTGTTGCACCTCTGGCCATACCTACCACCACACAGGTGTTCTGCACATGGAGTATAATCAGGATGATGCTGGACAGGAGAGACTTCCTTCACTACCACCTCCTACCCCTTCAAAAACAAGAACAACAAGCAACATGTTAATCTTGGCAGAGGGTGTTTGGACAGCCCTTTATCTTGGAAGACAGAGATTCAGGGTCTCAGAGCTAGAGTCTCGCAAAATGCAAGTCACCCTATGTTGACTTGGGTTTTAGAAATAGGTGTTATTTTATGTTAAGATATTTTAACATATGGACCCAGGACTTTTTTAACTTATACCTAAAAAACACACCTGTGCGTATGTACATTCATAGAAGGATTTCTTATAAAAATATTTTCCCTTCAGTAGACCAATTTTTTCATATACCTAAATATTTTAAAATGCTAGTTGTATTATTGAATTAACCCTTTTTTAATAATCTGAATAGCTAATTCAGTTGAAATAGTCTCATGTTGCTCCCATAAGAGTCAAGTGGTAGGTGGGACATGGAAAAATCTTCTGTTCATCTGTCCTAGAAGCATCCACAGACTGTATTGCCACAGAAGTATGCATAATCATGACAGTGTGCACATTGAATGTAGTCTGTTTCCATAAACACAGTGGAGCCACATGTTACTTGCAATTTAATCTCGCAGTTGTATATCATTCAGATATTTAAAAGCAAAAATTATAGAATTGTATTATGTTAATTCTTCTTTATTTTTGTGGGATGTTATTTTATCCATTCTTCATTGTTGAATTACATGATTTGGAGGAGTCTGTACCTTTTGTTCATTTTCAGGAAATTAGAAAAGATGTGAGAAAGCATTTAATGACTTGCTTTAGTAGAGGCTCATGTCCTAAAAATAAGTTGGGCTCCACTGGATTGTAATTGCTGTTGCATGAAATTACTTTTCTCTTAATATTGTTTACAATTGTATTCTTTCTTGAATTTTCTTCTTTCAGAGAAGAGTTCCAGTCACAAATGCATATGTGATACATTTTGACATTCACTGCTAAGATGAAATGCAGAAGTGAACACGACACACTCATTCTCGTATTCTCAGATATGATTAGATGTACTTTATCATGTTTTTATGCTACTGACCTATAAGAAAAAAATACTAAAAAAGGGTAGCAGTTAAACACCTAGGACCTGCAACTTCAGTACGTCTGGGATGATCTGGAATATCACAAGGAGAGATTTTATTACAGCATATTCACACCTTATCTGAGCCCTCAGCCTATGTTCATACACATTTCCTTCATTAGAAGTTGTCACCAGACACTTTACCTCCCAGGATGGACAACAGGCTCCCAACAGAGTTTGATGTGGTTGTAATAGGGACAGGTTTGCCTGAATCCATCCTCGCAGCTGCATGTTCCAGAAGTGGTCAGAGGGTTCTGCATCTTGATTCAAGAAGTTACTACGGAGGAAACTGGGCTAGTTTCAGCTTTTCAGGATTGCTCTCCTGGTTGAAGGAATATCAACAAAACAGTGACATTGGGGAAGAAAGTACTGCTGCATGGCAAGACATGATCCATGAAACAGAAGAAGGCATCACTCTTCGCAAGAAGGATGAAACCATTCAACACACAGAAGTTTTTTGTTATGCCAGTCAGGATATGGATGGCAATATTGAAGAGACTGATGATCTGCAGAAAAATCATTCCTGGGTAGCATCTAGTACCCTCATTAAACCTCTGGATTCTGCGTGCTTGTCTGAAGAAATGCACTCATTATATGTTTCTAGCTATGAAGTGCCTGCAAAAGGGACTCCAGAAAACAATGGAGAAGTAACTGCTATAGCAGAAACCTTGGTGAAAGAAGAATATTGTGGATATAAAACTTATAAACACAGAGTTTCAGATGGTGCTAAAGACGAAATCAAACCTATATTGGAAGACAACAGTGATCCACCAAAGAGAAACAGGATTACTTACTCTCAAATAGTTGAAGAAGGCAGGAGGTTTAATATTGATTTGGTATCAAAGCTGCTTTATTCCCAAGGACTGTTAATTGATCTTTTAATCAAATCAAATGTTAGTCGTTATGCAGAATTTAAAAATGTCACTAGGATTCTTGCATTTCGAGAAGGAAAAGTAGAGCAGGTGCCTTGCTCCAGAGCAGATGTCTTTAATAGCAAAGAGCTCACTATGGTTGAAAAGAGGATGCTAATGAAATTTCTTACATTTTGTTTAGACTACGAACAACATCCTGATGAATACCAAGCTTTCACACAATGCTCATTTTCAGAGTACTTAAAAACCAAAAAATTAACCCCCAGCCTCCAACATTTTGTACTACACTCAATTGCAATGATGTCAGAGTCATCTTGCACAACAATAGAAGGCCTTAAAGCAACAAAAAACTTTCTTCAGTGTCTTGGAAAGTTTGGCAACACTCCCTTTTTATTTCCCTTGTACGGCCAAGGAGAAATTCCCCAGTGTTTCTGCAGGATGTGTGCAGTTTTTGGTGGAATATATTGTCTTCGCCATAAAGTACAATGCCTTGTAGTTGACAAAGAATCTGGAAGATGTAAAGCAATTATAGATCACCTTGGTCAAAGAATAAATGCTAAATATTTCATTGTGGAGGATAGTTACCTTTCTGAGGAAACATGCTCAAATGTGCAGTACGAACAGATCTCCAGGGCAGTGCTCATTACGGATCAGTCTATACTAAAGACAGATTCAGATCAGCAGATTTCCATTTTGATAGTACCTCCAGTGGAACCAGGAGCATGTGCTGTTCGAGTCACTGAATTGTGTTCTTCAACCATGACGTGCATGAAAGACACGTGTCTGGTACATCTGACCTGTTCATCTTCCAAAACAGCAAGAGAAGACTTAGAATCAGTGGTGAAGAAATTATTCACCCCATATGCTGAAACAGAAATAGACAAGGAGGAACTTGCAAAGCCAAGACTCTTGTGGGCTCTTTATTTTAACATGAGAGATTCCTCAGGAGTCAGCAGAAGCTCATATAATGGCTTACCTTCCAATGTTTATGTCTGCACTGGGCCTGACTGTGGACTAGGAAATGAACACGCAGTCAAGCAAGCTGAAACACTCTTCAAGGAGATCTTTCCAAGTGAAGAATTCTGCCCCCCACCTCCAAATCCAGAAGACGTTTTCTTTGATGGTGATGATAAGCAACCAGAGTCTCTTGGAGCCAATACTATAATAATAGCCCAACTAGAATCCTCTGAGGGAAGCAAAAACCTAGAAAGCTCAGAGAAGCACCTTCAAAATTAGAAAAAAGCAAACTGGAAATGCTACTTTGGGCCTTCATCCAGTATCAGAATATTCTCATTTAAAGGACAGTTTCCTATATGAGTAATTAGAAGTGGTTATTTGATGAATGGCATGCAGATGTTGTCTATAATTCTCTTTGTGACTTTCAGTTATTGGATGTATTTGTTAACCTATCAATAATTGATTTATTGGTTATTGGACTTCTTTTTGTTTCAGAATGGGCTCCATGAGCCAGAATCTTAAACAGGGTTAGCTTTATTTTAGTACTGGGTATATATGTGAGGGTTCCATATTAGCCATGGTGCTTAAAGGAAGATGGTATTGTATCTGCTGATCTTCAGATTTTATTGTCTACAGAACAATAACATCTAAGGAATATTTTAATTACTTTTGTAGCTATTACAGTTGCTACCACCTCTGAATAGTGAAACACACACAGAGGAAATTATGTGGGTCTTTTCTTTATAATATAAAGATAATAAGTATGATCCTTTATTTGTGAAGGTGATGTCTACAATACATCTTGCAGTTTAATTCTCCTACTTGACCCTTGTAACCAATGAGGCAGTGATGCCACCACAGTCTTATACATTGTAAAAAGAGTCAGAGTTCATTTAGTCGTTGAAGAGCTCATTCTTGGGAGGTTCAGTCCAAAGAAAATCTAGGGGAAAAGATTAGTTCTGGTTTAATATTTCAGAAAATTTCTGAAGAGCACTGCTCTGGCACCTAAAAGAAAAGAACTTCTAAGTAACTCAGGCTAAAGAAAAAATAAATTGCTCCAGGAAAAGATATTACAGAATGCTTGTTCTGAAATTGCTAAGGAGAAACTGAGTGAAGCATTTTTAACCTATTACAGATGGTTTTTAAAATCCATCTGTAAATAGATTTCCCAAGGTTTCTCAGTGAAAGTGAAGCATACCATCTTGTTGACTCCACCACTTTAATTAGTAACACTACAATTGATAGGAGTGAATCAAAGGAGGGTTACCATGTCCCTTTGGTTGTGTCCCACCCCACAAATAATGAGGTAAATGCCTTCGTAATCAACTCCTGCCTCTTAGCTGTTATCTAGAGGATAGAAAACATTTTTTTCCAGAACTACCAGAAGTCATAAAACTGGTTATACTCTAGCAGCAGAAGCTTGTGGAGCTGTCAGAAGAAATAAACTTCCTTCTCTTTAGGTCACTGTTTCCATTCCTCAGACAGAGAATGATAATCCTATAGGAAGGATTTAGGAAGGGATAGGAAAGGATATAGGAAGCCCTTTTAATTACAGTTTTTGTCCTGGAACAGAGCATTTGCTATGTGCTAGGCACTTATTGTGCTCTCTAATTACAGTTTCTCAACAACCCTGTGAGGCAGATATTATTGAATACATTTTCAAAGAGGAAGTAAAGACTTAACAATTCTCTCTGAGTCTGGTTTGTGGAAGAGCCAACATTGGAATCCAGTCTTTCATGATTTCAAAATCTTTCCACTGATGTTAACTGTTAGAAGAGTGTAGGTACTGTAGGAGAAGGAAAAGATGCTCATGAAAACGAGTCTAGCGTTGCTAGTGAATCAAAGTAGACAGACATCTTTTGGCTTATTGAGTCAGAGAAATATGAAAATAAAGATTAATTAAAAATAAATATGGCTTAGAGCTATGGATCTCATTGAAGCAGAATTTGTCTAAAGGTTTAACAAAATCATACTTTTTAATGTGTCTTTTGATTATTGTGTTATAAAAAGTAATGTTACCAGGCCAAAATATGCTTTGAATAGTCTTTTGTTGATCTTCTATATGTGAGGAAAATGAAACAAGAAAGATTTAAGTAATTTTCAGCCTACTGAAGTAGAGAAGTCATTAATTGGTATTAATATGTATGTTTTGAATCTAGCAGATCTATTATTGGGTGGATTCTAAGGCTTAAACTTATCAAAACAACTGAAATAGACCTAAAAATTAGCTATTAAAATGTAAGAGAATTTAAGATGTTAAGTGAAATGGAGGTGAAGGTAATCCAGACCTATTGAAAAAATTTTAATTTCTGTATCATGAATATTTTTATTCATAAGAATTTGAGAAGGGCAACGAGAAGTTGCAAAAAATGATAGAACCAAAGATAATGGAAACAGGAAAATGTTAGATTAGGTAAAATAAGGGTTTTAAAAACTAAGAAAATGAATATATTGGTTTCCTACTTGAATGCAAATAAATTGGAAATGAAAAAAGTTATTACCAATAAAAAGCATTTTAAAAATTAGAGGATATTATAACCTAGTATAATTTTCTGACAAGTTGGAATTTTACCCTTATGGGCTTATTGGTGAACTTTTTCAAATGTTCAAAATATAAATAATATCTGTGTATCAAAAGATGATATAATATTTACAGTCTGAGGTTAATATTGCCTCAATGCTAGGAGTCAAACATTTTGAAAAGGGTCTCATTCTGAACAAATGCAGAATATTAGCAAATGATACACAACATAAAAATAATTATTTACTGTGACTCAGGATTATAAGGTTAGTGTTCAACAGAATAACCATTAAATCAATATCAACAGAACAAAATAGTAAAAATGCAAAGGACTAACTACAGGTAACTTTAAAAATGTTAATAAAATTCATCATTTTTTATTTAATTATATCTGGTAATGATTTTTTTGGTTTCTCATTGTGATAATTACTAAAAACCAAGAACTAACATTATTCCTATTAGGAAAACATATAGGAAACATTTCTCAAGCAGAAATTAAATAATCTTGGCACTACTTTTATTTATATATGGTTGAAAAAGCTTGTCATTGTAATAAATCATTAATAAGCATTCATAAATGAGAAAGATAAGGAAAGAAAGCACAAATATTTTCTATTGACATGACTTTTAAACTAGTGAAACCTGTAGTATCATAAACAGGCTGACAATAAAAGACTAATTCAGGAAGTTGCAGGATGTATAACTTTAAAGCTAATTTTATTTCTTGGGCTTCCCTGGTGGAGCAGTGGTTAGGAGTGCGCCTGCCAATATAGGGGTCACGGGTTCGTGCCCCGGTCCGGGAGGATCCCACGTGCCGCGGAGCGGCTGGGCCCGTGAGCCATGGATGCTGGGCCTGCGCGTCTGGAGCCTGTGCTCTGCAGTGGGAAAGGCCACGACAGTGAGAGGCCCGCGTACCGCAATAAATAAATAAATAAATAAGTTTAATCTTATTTCTAGATTCAAACAGTGACAAACTACAACTTAAAGTGTTTGGGTATTAACATATACAAGCCATTTAAAGAAAGTTATACAACTATATTGAGGTAAGAAAGATGCTTATATAGAAGCAGGTTACAGGAGCTGCATCCTAGTATAATGAAAAGGAAGTAAATAGGAAATCTGAAAACCAAAATTAGAGTCCTCACTTTACTACTTACAAGTTGTGTAATCTTGGGAAAATCATGCCTACTTTCCATTTCACCATCTATAAAATAGAAATAATGCTTTGCAGAATTATTATGAGGATTAAATTAATGTAAAAGAAATTATGTCCAAAGGACTGGCAATAGGGTGAAGTTAGTATGTAGATATACTACACTTCCACTTAACGTTCCAACTGGATGCTTTATATAATTTGACAGAATTGTGATAAATAATTTAGGAAAATAAGCAAGTATATACCTTTTTAACTTGGGAAAAAAAGGGAGTTTTGCACTTCAGATCGTTAAAACATGCTGTTAAGCATCTTTTCTCAATACACTATGGTATTGAGTAGAAAGTTTAAGACTAATAAACCAATTGGAAAGAAATATATAATAACTGCTTGTGGAAAGATTAGCTGGATGTAAGTATAAAAAAAGAAATTAGATCCACTTCACACATAACAGTTTGTTCCAGATTAAAATCTTCAATATAAAGGTAAAAATAAAAAGACTACAATTCTCATCCCAGTAATTTTGCAAAGGAAACTTTATGGCAAAGAAAAATGGTGACAAGATAGATGAGATCAACGAAGAAAAATGAAAAATGTATACTAAATAGGAAGAAGACAAGAAATGGGGTATAAGCCACTTGCATTACACAAGGATAAAGTACTCAATATTTTTTAAAAGGTAAGTGCAAATCCATAGGACTTTGTGCTCTTTACTAGGCAAGTTTATGAAAGAATTGAGTTGAAACAAGAAGATAGAAATAAAATGGTATTCAGATTTACTAATATTAAAAATGCAAACTAGAGCAACTTTGACTTAGTTCATGCAATTATATTAGCAAAAATATTTTAATTGCATGTATCCTCATACCAGTAGCATTATTATATTAATGTAGTTTTTTTGAAGAACTATTTAGAAGAATATAAGAACTCTATAACCAATCTGTCTTTTGATAGCTCTAACTCACTCTGAGTAGCATATGCCCAGGAAAATATTTTAAAAGAAAAAAAAGTCTATTTGTATAAAGATATTTCTAGTGATTGCATTCATTTGAGTTTTAAAAAAAGCCCAGTAATTGGAAACTGGATAAGTAAATTTTCATGTATTGCTATTGCTATCATAGACTGTTATATAGCCATTAAATAGTATTGATATATGTAAAACCATATGGGAAAATGTTTAAATGAGACTTGAAAGTGCTAAAACATAAATTATTGTATTTACTGATTGTGTAAAAATTTAGATCTATACATTGGAAAGAATCCGAAGAGAACATTGTAATTAGTTTAACATTAAGAGGTTCTTTTTTCTATAAAATACTGATGTATGAAATAAAAGATTAATTGGTAAAATGGTTTACTGAATTGGTGAGAAAATTATTGATTTCTAAACTTCTAAATTTCTCCTTTAAATTAAAAAATATAAGTGTTAGTGTCAAAAGATAATCTCCAAAAACGGACAGAAAGTTTTCCGACTCTTGGTGGGAAGGAATTCTTGGTCAAGATGGATTTTGCATCTTTTCTCAGTTGCCCAACATTAAGAAATAAGGTATATTGTGACGCTAGGTAGATAGATAGATAGATAATTTTTTAAATGGGAATCTCAGAGCCAGAGGTAGAAATAATAGAAATGATACTAATGCATTCCAGGACATCAGCATGAAGACATTATATACTGAAGTATGGCCCCTAATCCAAGAACATACTTCATTTTGGAGTCTTGGAGGCCAGGGAAATGAAGGTTGGGTTTGGATTGGTAGAAGTGGCCAAGCCTGGGTCTGAGGAGTGCTTTCAGGGAGACCGGTGTTAAGGACAGATCTCAGGGGACTGAGGATGCTGGCAGACCCTTTCTTGTTAGTCTGAGACATCCAAATCAAGGTGATTTAATTCAACAAACATCAGTTGAACATCAACTGTGGGTTATGAATTTGAATTATTCTAGGGATTAGAAATAGAAATATAAATGACAGATCCTCTAGAGGATGTATGTTTTGTTTTATCTTTATGGGAACTTAAGGTGTTTTCTATCCATCATACTCCACATCATAACCACCTCCTTTCACCCGCACTCCCCCCCGCACCAAAACAAAGAAAAGAAAAAAGAGAAATCTGATTTGTGGTGCATGGCATTCCTTTAAAGGAATACCAAGACCTTTTATTATGCAGTTGCAAACAAGTAGCTTAATAAAAGGTAGATCAGCTAATACTTTCTGAAATCTATTTCAGCTAACATTCCGTTAATTAAGAAGTTTCTGACAATCAGAAGCTTTCTGTCTTGCCTGTGGGAAGGAGTGAAGAGAAGGTACAAGAGATTGGGTCCCAGAAGCCCAAAGCATTGAGAGCTCAGAGAATAAAAGTATAAAGAAATCAAAATGAGAGAAGCAGATCATAAAGTTTCAAAACAAAAAATTCTAATTAGGATTAGATTAGGTTTACCTACCTTTGTCTTGGCAGGACAGATAGAAGTCATGCTTTTATTGCGTTGAGGTAGTTGCTTCCTCTTTGAAGATTTATACATTTTTATTTCAGTATTTTTACTCTCATAAAGAGGCATTGTTTCCAGTATAGTTCTTACCCTTTTAACCAACAACCAAATATATTCACATTTATAAAGCAGGGGACACAATACCTCCAGCTGTATGTAAGCCATGAACAAAGATGCTGAGTGATTCAACTGAAAGAATTTGACTCTTAACATGAATATTTTGACAGCAGTTCTGCTACAGCATTTGTAGGATTTTTTCTCCTGACAACTACATTTTTTTTATATGAACCTCAAGACAACTACATAAGGTAAGAAAGGGCAGGTATTTATATTCATTTTACAGATAAGACTTGGAGAAATTAAGTGATTTGCCTGGACTCTCTCCTAGTAAGTATTCAGATTCATTAATTAGAATTGAAATGTAACTTCTGCCTTACCTTCATCTCAAGATGATTATTTATTGCATGTAAGAGTGCACAGCACATAAATCACTATTTTAAAAGTGGTTGCTTCTAGAATTTGAGAGTACTTTTTTTTCAATAAATAAATCATCCTATAAATTAAAATTTGTATAGTTCAAGTGGGCTGACTAGAATTGCAAGGAGAAGGGAGTTTAAGCTCACACCTGAAATCAAACTTCCTCCTGGTTTTTATGTCAAGAGCTTCATTTCTATAATACAGTATTTTTATTAGTTCCTGTTGATATCCTATAATTTTGACATTTGCTTGTTGCTAAATATATATTTAACCCTTAATACACTCTGAACAGCATGAATAAAGGTATAGACATCATCAGAGGAAAAGGAATGACTTTGGATTCAGAGGTGCAGGGTTGACAAAGTATAGTAGGAAGATAAATACCTTTTTGTAGTTCAATCAGAAGGAAAACATATTTAGGCATTTTATAAGTTTTAAAGAAAAGGGAATCCTAGGGGATACCAGTGCAGTAGGATTAAGGCCAACTCTTTTGATTATAGGTCATATAATTAAAGCCCTTGAGCACCCAGTTCCTGTTTGAGACTTTTATTTGTTCATTTATTCATCTCATATTTAAAAATAACAGAAATATTATGAATCAGTATGGGTAAGTTAATTTTACTTCATGATAAGTTAATTTCATTTATATGTGTAATTTATAGTTAAAGTTTTTGTACCAATTTCGGTATTCTTATTGCCCATTATAAAGAAGAAATTTGGGGGAATGGACTGCTGAGGAAGAGCAGGGAATCTTGTTTTTAGGCAATTAACAGTTGTTAAGTTCCTAAATGATTTAAGTGAATTATTAAAGAGAAATGAGCTGTATGTCCTTCTGTTCCTTTAACAATTCCATTTTATGACTGCATATAACATTATTTGTAGTGCCCTCTGTTGCTGAAACATAAATACCAACCAGGTGTTTACTAAAAGGAAAAAGCAAAAGACGAGAACTGCACTGGAAATAGTTTTTCATGAGATTGTAATCTCCTTTAAAACAAAGTCTGTGTGTGCTGTACCTCTGTATTCCCTACAGTGTCTTGCACTTCATAGGCATCCAGAAAAAGATTTGCTAAATGGAAGACGAACTAGCAGTTTCCAGCACCCTTCTTCTTCCTTCTAGGTTCCAACCGACGAACAGAGTACAGAGGAACAATCTGGGAAAATGTATCAAAATTATAGTGCTGGGTCTTTGTATTATTAGTACAGGTAATTAGTTTTAGGGTAAACCTATGTGAGTGAATGAAACTACTTAAAAGGAACATTTAAATCTATGAAATGTTTCATCTAATCATTTTACCAATTTTCTCCCATCAAGGCAGTGGTTCTCAAACTAGGGTGATTTTGCCCTTCAGGGAACATTTGACGATGTCTGGAGACATTTTTGGTTGTTAAAACTGGGAATGGGCTGCTGCTGGCATCTAGTGGGTGGAGGGCAGGAGTTCTGCTAAACATCCTATGATGCGCAAGACAGCCTCCCCACAAGAAGGAATTATCCAGCCCAAAATGTCCATAGTGCCAAGTTGGAGAAGCTGTATTAGAGTAAAAGTTATGAATATTTATAATGAATCTGCTTTCTTTTATGCTCCGCACTTTTACCTTTCTTCCTCAACATCTTCTGACTCCCTCAGTGCTTCTTCAACAGGGTCACTGTTGGTAGAAACTGCTGTCTGCTGCTTCCTTACATAACACCTCCCCACTCCTTTATCTCCTTTCCCTCACAAATTAACAATGGCTTCCTTCTGAAGGTTTATGATAAACTGCAAAACAAAATTCAGAGATTTAGTGAATATTTCTCATCCTGCCCCAATTGTCAGGTACAGCCTAGAGATTTTGTGGGGTTTTAAAAAAAAACATGCATCTTATTCAGAAATAGAATAACTCTGCAGTTATAGAAATGAAACTATGATATTTTTCTATTGTTTTGTTTTAGTGTTTTTTTGTCATGTTCTCTTACTATCTTTTTAGGTATCTTTCTATACACTGCAAACTACCTCAAAATCAATGTAAAAATATTTTGACATACTTTTTTTTGGAGGGGTATTATTTACTTGACAAGCTATGGGCAAATTAATCAAATTACATGTATATGACAATATCCTATGAGTTTCAGAGAAGCCAATACAAGACTAAATAAACCATCCATAATTGAATTATATTCACATTTACACTCACTAATTGTTCACCAAGCAATGAAATAGTGCAGTAGCTTGACATTTTATAGACGGGGATTAACTAGAAAATACCTATAAAATGGAATGAGTAAAGAAATGAGTCAGTATTCTTAATGTAGATAAGAATCTTAAGTAGATTACTCGCAAAGTGAAACATAGGATTCGATACAATGCAACATTTATTGAGCACTGTGCCTCAGTTTCTGTGCTAGAGTCTGGGAATACAGAGAATAATTGTATGTAACACTGAGCATTTACTGTATGCCAAACACTGTTCTGAGTGCTTGCTGTACACTGTTCTGAGTGCTTGCTGTATTTACCTTATTTAATCCTCATAACAGCCCAATTGGGTAGGTGCACTTATTATGCCCATTTTGCAGATGGGGAAACTGCAAAGAAAAACTTGACCAAGATAACACAGCAGGTATATGGTAGAACCAGCCTTCAAACCCAGGCAGTCTGACTATATAACCCACGTGCTATGATTGCAGTGTGGTGTAGTTTCTTCAGAGAGATGTCATATTAATTCCAGGAACAAGTAATTACTTATGTGCCAGGAACTGTCCTGATTTCTTTATATATATATATAATATATATATATATATATATATATATATATGTGTATATATGATCTCAATTTTTAAAATAACCCTGTGAGGTAGGTATTAATGTTTCCATGTGTAGATGAGAAATAAGACTCAGTAACTTTCCCAAAGTTATAAAATTGGTAAGTAGTAGAACTCCCAATCCACTGGAGCTGACATTGATGCACAATTAACCACTATATTAACCAGGCTATGAACATTTTTGTGATATAGGTATAAATAAACTTTAATGGATGCACAGAGAAGTTACTTTAAGTCTGGCTAGGGAAATCTGGGAAGCCTTCATGAAAGAAAAGACCTGGGTCCTGACTGTTGAAATGAATTTCTACAGACTGATATGAAGAACAACATTCCATATACGGACAACAGCAGAAACAGAGGTATGGTGTCATCCAGGACAACTCTCTGATGGCTAGATCATAGAGTGCACTGAACTAGAGTGGAGAGGTGGGGCATGTGGGAAAGTGTCCAGGGTATCAGTGTCATAAAGACCATGAGACTTCTATTCAGTGTATAGTGAGGAGCTGTTGAAGGTTTTTCTAGATCAGGCTTATGTTTAAAAAGGTTAGTCTGGTGTAGTGAGGAGGGAGGCCGGAAAGAAGGTGCAGAGACTGGATG